CCATAGGCCATGCCCTATATCGGGCTCCACTGCCTTCTCTGAAATCCTTTCTGAGTTCCAAATTCATCCTGGGGTGCGATGCCGTCCCCATCCTGGCAGCCCCCCCTTCCTGGGTCTTGCATCTCAGCCTCAATCAAAGCCCGAGCATCTGCCTCCCTACACCTCTGGCTTCAGACGGGGCACCCAAGACCCTATGAGAAGGTGCTGAGTCCCACAAGCAAGGAGGCAACATGGGGCGCCCAGCCACATTGTCTGTCACCGCAGTGATAATTCCGGAGTCTCGACTCTGTGACCACACGAACCCGCCACTTTACACATCCTGTGCTGAGCTTTATTGTGGGGAATTTTTTTTTTTAATGAGAAAACTAGAAGATATTGGAGTTCTCTGCTAGGTCAAATATTCTGGTTCTTTCCATGTTAATCCCTAATTCCTGATTAAACCTTCTCCTCTGTTCTAACCTACCTTGATAGAGAAACAAAAAAAGTCCTAACAAGAGGTAGAAGGTAGAGAATGCAGCCAGCCACCCTCATCATGGCCCGTGTGTGGCAATCGGCAGCCTGAAGCTGCGACTAACTGCTAAGGGTTAACATTTCAGAATGTCCTAATAGTCTTTCTTGCCCACCACCTGACTTCTTTTTTAGGCCCAGACTAATCTTCTCCAGGCTTAAGCTCCATGCTAACTGTCAGGGCAGCTTGAATAATGCATGGAATGTCTACACTGGGATGGTGAGTGATATTCTTTGCAGATGTGTCTGTCCTTTCACTCCTCAAGAACTGCTAGTCATGACTGCTTGAAAAGCAAGGCCCTTAATGTCCCTGGGACTCATGTTCTTCACCTGTACATGAGGAAGAGTTTCTCCCTTGTCCTCGGCCCTCCCAGGTCTTTGCTTCAATCACTGTAGGTGCCTCAACCTGAGGTGCCACATGCATCTCATAACCAGCAGCAAATCACATACACATTTAAAAAAAAAAAAAAATGGATGCCGTCTGATGATTAAACTCAAAAGGAATTACGCAATTAGCAAAGGATGGTGATCACACAACATGTGAGTCTAATTGCAGTGCATGCAAATGTTTGCTAAATTAGATAAATATGGGTTTGTAGTCACTCTGGTACACAGACTGAGCTGTAAAGTTAAGGAAAATATAAAAGTTAATTATAAAACAGGAGTGATAAACATAGGGTGCGTGCATGGGGCCGATTAGGATTATTAACCAAGTAATCATCTCATGCCGAAGGTGGAATGTTATAGGAGTCCCAGGCCCATAGTCTACTAGACAATGAAGTTGCTGTGTTTTATAGCATGTGAAAAACATACTTCATTTTTATAGAGGGCCCGTCATCTAGGGATAGCAGCATAGGAAACACTTGGAAGCTGGCTTGCTAGTCTACCTGGTGCATGGCACTTGGTACATCTCTGGCCCACTAGCACATCTGCTTTTTCATCTCATTATCCAAGTTCAAAACCTTATAGTCTGTGCCTCCTTGTCTTTATTCTTGTTCTATACACCTAGTTGGTTACTGAATCATGCCCATTTGTCCCAGTATCCCAAATTACCCAATGTTCATTGCTAAATTTAGAAATCCACGAAGTAGCTCTTATAAGAGGATGTCCCTATGACTGGCCAGGATCGCCTAGGCAAAGATAAAAGTACTCGAAAGACAGTTTTGGTGTAAGCCTAGATTCTAGAGGCAGACTGCTTGGCTGGGGTTCATGGATCCATCATTAATTCTTTGACAAGCTGATGCAACGAGCTGTGCCCTGGTCTCATCTCTGTCACCTACTTCTCAGGCTTGCTGCAAGGCTCACAGGAATGATTATGACAGCACACAGAACACCACCTGGCACATAGTCAACACTCTCCAAGTGCCTTGTTTCTTGCTATTTGTTTTTTTCTGCTCATTACTTCAAACATTTGGAAAAGTAAAGGTCTACTGAGTTCAGTGCACTGCACTGGTGACCACAGCAGGGGATACACACACACACACACACACACACACACACACACACACAAGCGTCCTTTCCCTCTGGGATATGGGAGAACATGTTGGCTCACAAATAATTACAGTGAAGCAACCTGTGAGATGTACTGGTCAGAGATTACAAAATGCTTGAGGACAGATCATTCTTGAAAGGCAGCTGGAGAAAATGCCCCTGAAGCTGGGCCATGATGAGGTCTGTGTCAGGGGAATGAGATTTAAAGGGGTGGGGAAGCAGAAGATGCTGCATGAACAAAGATGCTGAAGCCAGAAGGTCCGAGGCAACCTTCACTTCTTGCAGGAAGTGATGAGCCAGCCTGGACAGGGACTTGGAGGACAGTCTGAGGGGGAGGTGTCTTAATGTCGAGCCCTGAGTTCTGACTTTGTCCTGTGAGCCACAGAGTCCCCGGGAAGTTTTAAAGCACATGCTCTAGGACAAAAGTAGCATTAACAAGAGATGGATCTGACAGAGTTGAGTAGACAAGATGAAAAGGGAACACCAGGACAAAAGGAGCTGAAAGACCACTGCACTGGCCCAAACGTGTGGTAATGAGGGTGAGGGTGAACAGGCAGGCGTAAGGAGACATTAGGACCCACTGACAAGACCCAGCGGCCATGTCGATAGCCAGACCAGGAATAAAGATGAGCAGACGACTGTATAGACGTGGGCCACAGGAAGAAAAGAAGGTGCGCTGGTCAATCAGAGATCCCAATCCCTAGTTATCCAGCACGGGATCCAACAAGGGTCTCCGCAGAGGGAAGGCGGCTCAGCAGAGGAGTTCTGAGCACAGGCTGGCGCATAGACGGCTAGGTATCCTCTGCTGGCTGCGATGCCCTCAGCAAGCTTCCCTCACCAACACTTCCACTTCCAGCTCTGCAAAACGGGGATAAGAACATCCCATCTCTCAGGGATGTTGTGAAGATCAGAGAGACAGCCCAGCCCTGAAGTCAAGCACCTGCACAGTGTCTGCCACACAGGGAGCTCGCGGGAAATCTTGGAAAAAGACAAGCAGGGACCTAAAATATAGACTACTAATATTTTTTTTAAATATTGCACTGAAGTTCTGGTGGATGTGGTCTGTCTATGTTGTGATGACTCAGGCCCAAGTCCTAGATTTCAAGGCTCTGCCAGCACCGCCAGCAGACTGACGCTATGCTGAAGTCTCACTGAAGCGGTTATCGGGTCAGAATAAAAGAAATCCGGTCACCATATTGATCTGGAGCAATCAGGCGAGAGAGTGGCAAGCAACCAGCGCAGTTGGATTCATACTGTGAGTCTGGGTCAGTTTCTCCCAGGTTTTCATCAAAGGCCCATCGTTTCCCCTCCCAGCCCTTGCAGCAAGGCTGGCTGCTGCATGCCTTTCTGGACTTCTGTCACAAAGGTCACGATGATGATGTCAGGGACTGCTGACCAGTCAGCTGGTGTATGTGAACTTCAAAGGCCCATTGACACAGCTGCACTCTGCCAGGCCAGGGGGCACGCCTGTCTGAAATGCTGCAGCCATACACTGAGAGAGTAGCCCAGCGGCCCCATGCGGACCAACACACCACCCCAGTTCTTACAGTGCTGCTGTTTAGTCAACAAAAATTCTACCTGTCACAGCAAACTTGCCCCACCCAGTGGACCACTGGAATTTGGAAAACAGAACTGAATCTTGGCCCAATCCATTTTCTGTCCCTGCAGGGCTCTCTGCTTACAGCTGACTTCTCATTGCAAGAGCATTTGCCCTTCAGCCAAACCACCGTTCATTTTCAAAATTATGTATGCTGAGCCCTCTGGGACAGTTCTTTTTAAAAGGTCCAGGCAGACAGAAAGACAGGCAGCTGCTGTGCAACAGGGGGCCGAGCCCAGTGCACTAGATTCAAAGCCTCTGCTTTTTCCAGCTTCCTAGAGATCAGTATCAGCCCACAACTGTAGACTGTCCAGAGAGTTAAGGACTCAGCCTGTTCTTCTCATGCCATAGCAGTGATGGCTCCTACTGTGGAAGCTAGCAAGAGCCTCGCTCATTTTAATAAGACTATTTCCTTAGCACCAAATAGCGATCAATACTTTCAAAGAAATTTTTTTTTCAATGCTGGGGATGAACCCAGGGTATTTACATTGAGCTCCTTTATAATTTTTTCATCATCATTTTTTTTTTTTTTGGAGACAAGATCTTGCTAATTTGCCCAGGCTGGGCTTAAATTTGCATTCCCCCTGCCTCAGTTTCTCCGAATGCTGGGACTACAGGCATATACTGCCATACCTGGCTTTAAATAAGATTTTTGTAAGTGTTGTCTTGGTTGATTCCACATCATCAATGAAGTCTTTACCACAGATATTACCAGCCCCTGTCACAGAGGAAGAAATGGAGGCTCAAGAGGTAAGTGGCTTACCCAAAGTCACAGAGCTAGTTGGTGCCAGAAAAAAGTGCAAGAGCTGGAGTCCTTGGATCTGAAGCTAGTTGGCAAGAATCAACCAAACCCAATTCTATGGCCAGCCCTACACTTAGAGAATTAAGATATCTAGGCACTGGGAGAAAAGAGGACAACAAACTCAGGAGAGGTAATATCTAGTGATAGAGCAAATAAACTAGACAAGAAACCTTAGCTCCTTCTGCACTTACTAATTCTAGTAAAAGATAAGAACACATTATCTTAAAGTATTTTTCTTCTTCAATGTATCTTTCCCCAACATGCCTATAAATTAAGCCACAGAGAGAGCAAGCACTTTTAGTCAGAGATGGCAGGAAGTCAGGCAAGGGGGTGAAGGACGGCAGATTCAACCGGTCAGAGAAACAATTTTCTAGCCAAAGATTCTTAAGCACCATCTGGGTACTGGGAATCTCCCCAGAGCAATTAAAACAAACAAAAATAAAACCAAACACAGATATGCATGTGTCTGGATTCAGACTATGTTATATGTAAAATATATAATAGTTGATGTTATTGAGTACTTACCATGTGCTCCCAGTAAAGAGTATGCTGAGCATTTTTCATCCATTAACTCACTGAATCCACATGCAAATCCTTCGAGGCTGTATTTTAATTCCCCTTTTATTGAGAAGACAGGAGACAGGGAGGAGTTTGGGGAGGAGATCGACAGAGTTTAAGTAATTTGCCCGTGGCTTCCCAGCTATGAGGAAAAGATGGGCTTTCCACCAAGCAAGGTCTGCGTCGAAGTCCTCACTTCTGTCCACATCTGATCCTGTCTCAGGGAAACGATGACCGGCCAGAAGATGCCTGTTTTCCGGACCCTGAGTTTCTGAAAAGCATCCATCTACAGTGTGACACAGATATAAATAACATTGTTGTCACAGTGATGCTGGGGAGGCTGGCATCCAACATTTTGGTTTACCAATATCTTTACTGATGAAAAATAATGTCATTTTATATCCTACAAGTTAACATTAGAACAATACATTTTTATTTCAAAGCTTAGCACTGTTTAAAAAACATCTAGTACTATCCATGTTGTGGGGAAATTCTAATGCAGTTCATTAATAAGTACAACCACAAGTGGATTGATTAACTGCAAGCAACTTCCACATTGATAAGTGCTATGAGCTTTTATTGAACATTTTCAATTAAGGTGGAGAGCGTAGTTATCTATTTTCAGACGATCTTAAGGTTATTGTCAAGAGAATTAATTTACATGGGTCCTGTTCCATCTCAGTTTTGTATGACAAAGCAGTTCAGTGAGCAATAAAAGCTCTACCACAGTGTTTCTGGTATTCTGGAGCATGTTAAATCCAGTAAGATCTGAAAAACCATGACTTTAAGGGAGTAGTCACATGTGCCCGGGAGTGGGAAGACACTCACCCTGGTTTTGGGGAGGACAGCATTGTAAGAGTGCTCGGCGACTGCCTACAACCTTCCAGAGGAAGGGCTGCCCCAGCCTGACAGCAGTCTGTTCTACCTGCTCATTGCCCAGCTCCAGGACCATGGAGAGCCTGCTGAGGCTTCACAGCAGCATCTCTGCCGATCCCTCCAGGAGAAAGAGAGATGCCGCCAGTGACTCCAAACCAGCAATCTTGAAGGACTCAGAGAAACAACTGTTCAAATGAAGTCCGCATCTCTGGTAAAGAAAGAGGAGAGGGAAAGAGGGGCAAAAGGTCATGAGTTAAGGGAACCGCTGGCTTTGTCACTGGGATCCCAAGCACAGCCCCTGTATCCTGTAGTTGATACCAGTATGGTCCCTAGGCAAGTAACATATATATGTGGGTTGAAAGGGGAGAACATATCTTGGACTCCTAGGGATGAAAAATACAGAAACTGTTAAAAGAGATGTAGAGCATAGGTAAAAAAGTATACTTGTTGAATCACAGAGTAGCAGAAGAAGTCTCCTACTTAGAAAGAAAGAACACCAGCTAATGTTCTGCATGGGACACTGTTCTACTCCTTGACTATAAACTCAAAGAAAGCAAGGATTTTGTCTCTTTTACTCATTGTATACACCCAGAACTTAACTCAGGGCTTTGGAGCTCTATCAGTTTCAGTATACTGTTTTTCAGTGAGTAAGTAAATAAAACCAAAACATCTAGCTAAAATAAGAAACATACCCTTTTAAACGGGGTGGTAATTCTACATTCTTACTCAAAAATTGTGAAGTACCAAGCATGTTTCAGGTGCTGAACTTGGCACTGCACATAAAGAAATGAAACAACAAGGTACCCTTGTGCTTGGTAGGACTTTACTCATCCAACGTGCATCAAGCCCCGGCTCTGGGTCAGACACCCGGCTGGGCGCTGAGAGGCAGACAGATGGGGAAGTCCCTCTCCCCGCCCTCTGCGAGCTCAGGGTGGCCAAGGTGGGAGGTGTCTATAAGAGAAATGCATCTACGGGGTTAGGCTCAGAAACAGGATGTGAGACATCTGCCTGGAGGGAACCAGCACGGATACTTTTCACTGCCAGGCTTTACGTAAAGAGCAGCAACTACCAAGAAGGGAGGTTATTTGGATTCCTGCATTAAGAGGATTATTTTTATGTAACACATTCCCTCCCCTGCTCCAAGCAATCTATACATATTCTTCTTGAATCCCCTAGAACCTGGAAAAGTGTGTCCTTCCAGTCCCCTAAGAAGCATGAGCTTATACAATCCTCAGCTCTACAACCATCTATAGGTTGTATGTACAATATTGCAATGAAGACAGAACTCAGACTCGTTTTTTAAAAGTCCTCAGCATTTAAAACATTTAGGCACCATAATTGCTCAGTGAGTGGCAACAACTGCGGACGCTGCAGCTGTGCCTGTGGCTGCAGATATCTATCCAAGACTCATCAGGACTTTCCACAGGAAATACAGGAGGGTTTGGGGATTTTCATGTGTATCAGGACAAGCTCTGACAAAACCCAGCCACTAAGTCAGCATAAGCAGCTGCCGACTCTCCCACGACAGATTCCTTTCTTGAGTTCATCCTCTTCAAACCCTGCCCAGACTGGATCCCGCACCATTCATCTGCAAGGTAAAGAAGTAACCACTTGTTCAAAGGGCCCGGGTGGGGGGCGGGGGGGAGCAGGGGGCGCAGGGGCTCTGATCTGGTTGCCAGTGGCTGCAATCCAGCGCAGCACATGGAGCTTAGTGCAATTTAAAGCCCAAGACAGCTTTTTTTGTGGTGACAGTGCCAACACGTGCTGCAGAAAGAGCACAACCTCAAAATGCCCCACTGGCTCAGGAAGTAAAGCTTCGATACCCGGGAGGCAGGGGCGGAGGGAGGCAGGGAAGGTGTAGGAACCCACTGGTTGAGCAAGTCTGCCTTAGCTCCTCATCTGCCCTAATCACAGGGGAAGGTCTTGCCTGTTCTTTTCATAACTGTATGGCTCCCTGGTGATGAAGCAAACAGACATGATTCAGAAATCCCAAATGTTACCTTTGAATCCAGGCACCTCACGTGATTCTCATTTTTCCCTTTCATCTTTGATCTCTTTTCTCATAATACTTTATTTAGTATTGAACGGGTTACACAACATAACCTGTAAGTTACATAACCCGTAAGGATGGCAGCATCCAGTGGACAAACTGGCCTAACCTCGCTGAGGCACAGATTACACAACACGGTGAACACACCCAGAAGCAAATGCACGAACATCCTCTTGGATTATGTAATTAATAACTAGTAAGGAAAACGATTTCAAACCTGTCCCCTGAACCTTCCTTCTTGGTTGTGCAGGAAACGTAAGTTTTAAGTAGTCTTCTATCTTCCCTTTACATTCATGGTCAATTTCAAACCGACACACTATACGGTTTTGACTGGAATTGTTTCAGCTTGCTTTCCTTTTCAAATTACCTTCCAGGAAAGGGTCATTCAGACTTCACGACTATATCATTTAGCTCTTAATCGGATCACTTTCTATCATATTCAGTGAATTTGGTGATAGTACCCGGGATTCGGTGTGACATGACAACCGCCATTAAGCAAGAATAACATACCCCACCAATGCTATTTTTTTAGCAGGGAAAGCAGTGAACATGGTTAGGAGCTGGCCTAACCTGAAACTAACATTGCCCTCACAAGGAGCTTTCAGAAGCAATGGAATGGGACATAAGAATGGGGAGCTGGTACCCCTCAATTCTAATTCTGGCTCTATAGGTAAACTGGCTATCACTTAAACCTTTTGTGCCTCAGTGTTCTTCCCTGTAAAATGGTGTACAACTACCCCATGAAGCAAGTGAGGACCGAAAGTCGGGAGAAGTTAAACAGACTTGACTTCAAGTCCCAGCCCTGTCACTCACCATAAGACCTTGGGTTTATTACTTTATACAGTGCCCTCCTTTGCTTTCCGGTCCTGACCCAGGTTTTCACACCTGTGCTGAGTCTGAAATGAGATGCTATCCAGGAAGTGTCATCACAGGTGGCTGCTCCCTGCTTATTTGCCTTGTTGGTACTTGGCAGGTGGAGCCTGCAGAGCGCATGGCCCTGTATCTCTGAACACAGGAGCATCAGACTGGCTGATTTGGAAAAATCCCTCTAAAGGGTGCTTATGGACCACTGGACTCTCACAGTGTCAAAACTTGGGGTAGGTTGAACCTAAACCTAAACACTGCTGGCGAGGGCAGTGGTCACCAGGCAGACAGCAGCTAAGGCAAAAGCACCATCAGCCACCACCTTGCTCGGAGAAGGTATAACTGGGATCTGCGAGGGCCAGCTCTTTGTACTACTTGCAGTGAACCTCTGGCCTTTATTTTACACCTGAGAGCTACAGGAGGCCGCCCCTTGCTAGGCACTCGCAAAAGGTCAGCTTTCAAATCTACGCAGTTCTTGAGCCTTTGCCGAAGCGGCGCGTGCCACTAGAAGGGGACCAGGGAAGTCGGTGCTAACCGATCCGGGCGGCCACCCTCCGCTCCCCGAGGTTGCGTTCAGCGGGAAGACGTGCCGGCTCTCACCATCTAGGCCCCGTACCTGCAGCGCCGCGATCCTGGCTCGGGATTTCAGCAACCCCACCCTTATCGGGTCCAGGAAAATTTTTTTAAAAAAATATGTTGTATGAAGGAAGTCAGACAAAGCTGATTCACTGGTACACAAATAAACGATGGGAGTTGGGCTGCGTAGCCCCGGGCCTGGCCGTGTGGCGTTTAAAGACGAGAGATTGCAGAGAAGGAGGAAGAGCCCTAACCAAACAGTCGCCGGGCGCCCAGATCTTGGCGCGGTTGGGCAAGACAACACGTGCGGCCCAGCAACCCCAGTACCGGTCCCCAGAAAAGGGAACCGTTTAAGGCAGAGAATAGCGGAGCCGGCCAACGCGGGTGCAAACAATCCAGGCACCGCCAAGGCAGTGCGGGCGCCTCCGGCCTTGATTTCCCATTCTGCCAAACAAGGGTCTCCTAACCGTGCTGTTACTCTAAAACCCAATGCGGCCGGCTGATCCGGCGAAGGCTTAGAGACCGGAGAGGAAAGAAACAGCGAGGGGAGACGGCAGAGAAAAGAAGACGCGGGATCCCGGGATAGGCTTGGCGGGTTTTCGGCTTTACTCCTCCTCCTTCCACACCTGAGTTCCCACGGCCGCGCCGAGGCCCCGTGCCCGTGGAATCTGGGCCGCACAGTACTCAAGCTTCTCCCATCTCGCAGTTTCCACTTTCTGGAAGCCGTGGGGCCGATGCTGGCAGCACAACAACGCGTGCCACGGGATGGCAGGGGGAATGGTCCCGCTGGGCTGCGGAGGTTAGGTGAGAGCCGCCGGGGCTGGCCGGTGAGTGGGATCGCCCCAGCCTAGAGATAGCAGGACGCCCGCGCTCCGGCCCGCAAACCTTGGGCTGGCAAGATTTTATTCCCCAACTTTGAGCATATGGGCATGGGGTATATGCAAAAAAAAAAAAAGGAAAAAAGTTGCAGAACTTTTCTCCCAACTCTGCCGTGGGGGCGGGACCACAGGGCGGTGCCTGCACCCTGATTCGCCGGCGGCCGGTGCGGAGAGACGCGGATTGGCTCGCGGGCCCGGGCCGGGCAGAGCGGGGTGGGGGAGGGGAGCGCCCTCCCCGCCCGCGGGATCGGCTCGCGCCGGGAGCGGGTTAATTTCAAATCGGGGGCTTGACTGCTCCAGGACGGCCACGCTCCCCTGCCCGCCCGTCCGCCCGCCAGTCCCGGTCCCAGCGTTTCCCTCCGGCACCCACCTCGGCGCGGCGGAAAGGCTGACTGATCGCCCGACACGCGGGCTCCAGGGCCTGGGCGGGAAAGGGGGTGCCCAGGGTCCCCATTCGGCCCCCGGCGGCTCCGACCGTGAGGTGGACTGACAGGTCAGCAGGAAGCAGAGGGACACGGCGCCGGGCCTGCGGGCCCCGGGAGCGGGCTGGGGCGGGCGGCGGCGGCGGCGGCGGCCGTTTCCCGCCTCCCGCTCTGCTGGGGGCCGTGGAGGGAGGAGCTGAGCTCCCGCGCAGAGGGGCGGGGGCGAGCGAGGGGGAGGGGCGGGGATGCCGGGGTTCCGGGCGCGGGTTTGCCCGCGCTCAAGCCCCGCGCAACTCTAAGGGGCGGCGCCGGCCACGGTCTGTCTTTCCGCGCCAAATTTTTAAATCGAAGGCGGAAGGTACGGCCCCGCCCTTGGTGGCATCAGCCAATCGTAGGCCTGCGACCCGGCCTCTGATTGGGCGGGAATCGTTGCCCTGGAAACCGTGAGGATGCTGTCCGGGAACTGTCGGGCGGGCGGCGGGCTGGCGGCCGGCGGGGGCGGTGCGGTCGGCTAGGAGGAGGGGAAGTGTCCCGGGCGCTGAGCGGGTGGTGGCAAGGGGACCGTACCTGGTTGCCTTACGGAGCAAAGGCAGCCTTCGGTGGTGGAGTCGAACCTCGTGTCGTGAGCCCGCCACCTGAGCGCCAGTGCTTCACGTTCTGCATCTTTAATGAAGTCTTTTAAAAAGGAGAAATAATCATAAGGCGCTCTTTAAATGCCCCGCCGTACGCCTAGAGCTTTGGGGCTGAATTTGGAAGTTTCGCATCAAGCAGCTTCCCAAGCCTTTACTGCCGCGCCTGTGCACGTGCGTGTAAGGGGAGAAATTCAGGCATCTCGATGCAGATTCGTATCCAGATACCTGGAGTCGTGTGTGCTCTGCCAGAACCGGGCTCGTGCGCTCAGTCCGGAGCCCTGCTCGGGGGACAGGTGGGTGCTTTCTACCGCGTAGTTGGTGGGATCCAGAAAATAGTCCACCTCTAAAGATGGGAGGGGGTTGTCTGGAGGGTCTGCGGGTTGCTGTAAGTCCATGACAGCAGATGGGTTTGTGAAGGAATTTACTTGTGTTACCTGCAGGTCTCTGCCTTGTTAGTCTACCTGTGATGGGTCAAAAGTATTATCTTAATTCGTCGCTTTTCGTTAGTCTTTGTTCCTGTAGCCTCTTGTGTGTGAATTTTCAGCAGATCTTCCGTTTTCTTTTTTCTTTAAGGATTTTAAAAATTTTGATAGAATTGATTGGACCACTTGAACTATTGGGATTTGGGAAGGAATTCCAGATTTTTTATTTTTAAAGAAACACTAAATGTATGAGAAATTGACAGAATGGAGAACGAAAAGGTACTTTTAATTTCAATCTCTACTCCGTAGTTTTAAGTGTAATATCATCCTGATTTAACTTCTCAGTTTTCCATTCTCCAGCGTCATTAATGTCATCCTTTTTTGGTTATTCTTTGTAAAAACCTCGAAGGCAGGGAAATTTAATTTTTGAGGAGAGGTGGTGGCAGTCTCAAAGAGATAAACAGAGAAAATCAATTTTAAGAATACTGAAATATATTAGCTACATGAAAATACTTAGGAGGATTCTTGAAAAATTGGAATTTGAAAGGACATTTGATATGACTCAATATTAGATTTCTTTTAAAGATAGTTTCCTATCAGGGCTCAAAATGCTGTTTATGAGGTATTTTGTAAAGTTGCACAGGAATTGCTAATAGGGCTGGCTTGATTGGTACTGATAAATTAACAACACGAGTGAACTTTTAGGAAGAATTTCTGAAAGTTTTAGATGTTAAATAAGAGACTCACTGTTACTCTGTGAAAAAGCCCATCCTTGGGCCCACATGTTCTGGGTGTTCTTGCTCGCAAGCAGCTTCCATAGGATCTGTTGTACTAACTTCCCTGTAAGAAGCAGCATTTCTGGACTAAGAAGGTTCTAGTCGTTTGTGACTTCCCTCCACCTGGTGTTCTCTTCTGCCAAATAGGAATACAAGATTCAGTGAAAAGACAGCAAAAACCCTCAGGTGTCACATGTAAAATAGTACCATCAATCCATATTCCCAAAGTTACTGGCAACCAGTGGATCTCTCTGTCCTTTCACTTATTGCCATTCCAAGTGTTTTCTTTAAAATAGTTACAGATAGTGTGTGAAGTCCCTGGTGTCTGAAAGTGGAAAGGACATAGCCTTCATTATTCTTATTTATGAAATGCCATTAACTTACCCTCTTGTCTCAGTGGCAGCCCTCCTTCTGCCAGGAACTAGCTTTGTTACCTTGGGTAGCTCCTTTTACTTCCCTTGACCCACTTTCTCCATCTGTAAAGTTAGAAGGTATACATTCAAAGAGCAGATGTTTCTGGCCAGAAGTCGTTCTCTTAGGCACTCTAGATTTTCCTGATAAGTCTGCTCAGCCCTTGTGCATGTTTGGTGTTTTATTGAGGATCTACTGCATGCAGCCATTATGCTAAATGGATAATGGTTTCTGCCCTAGAGGCCTTATTTATTAGTTTCTGGTGTAAAGGTTGTGTCTAGAGCTTGAGATCAATTGAGTGTATCAATCTTGTTAGAAGAAGATGAGTGGAGGGTGTTTGGGGACTGTCACATCTGCAACTCTTCTCTAAATCTAAAATTGTTTCAAAAGAGCTAAAGTTATATTTTAATATTTTTTTTAATTCTTGGAAGATGAAAACATTTAGGTCCATGCTTTTTACAAAATTAAAAGCAGGAAGTTTAACTATTGGAATGGACAGGAAGTGTCAAGTGATTATTGGAATGCACTCATTAATTTAAATCAAATTTATAGTCTCATTTGGCATTTTCTCCTCGGCACTGTTCTATGCATTGTACAGTTTTTAGATGTTAAAGCCATCTGATAAATCCTGTCTTACAATAGATTTTTAACTACTTCTTCTGAACCAGGAAAATCTTTTTATTGAGCCACACAAAAGGGGACTGATGAAGTCACCCCTGAAGGAGTCCACCAAGGAGAATGTCCCACCGGCCACTGACCTGCCCTCTCCTAACCTGGGCCCTTTGACCACGCCCACCAAGCCCAAGGAAGTCTCCCAGGGAGAACCATGGACACCAACAGCCAATTTGAAAATGCTTATCAGTGCCGTGAGCCCAGAGATCCGCAGCAGAGATCAGAAAAGAGGGCTGTTTGACAACAGAAGGGGATTACCTGAGGCCAAAGACTGTTTACACGTAGGTTTTCATGGGTGGAGCCTAGGGTTCGTTGGGTATTTGAAGCTGGCACAAAAGTATCCACAATAGGAAGTCTTGCTACTCAGGGACTGTTGCTGACCTCCTTCTGAGTACCAGAAATACGCGGACCCTGTCAGATATTGCACCAGGAATTCTGAACATTCGAGCAATTTTCATTTCAGGCTTCCCTTGCAGATTTGCCAAAGCTCATGTGTACCGCATCCCCCCACGCACCCTTTTTTTCCTACCCCAAACTTTGCAGCTGTCCAAGCTAAACATGTGTGTAAGTGGTATTAGTCATTAAGCGCAGATGCCCCCTAGTAAATCTGTCACACTTTATTTACTAGTAAGACATTGTATGCCTTTTCCTTTGTAGGAACACTTATCTGGAGATGAATATGAGAAGTCTCAACCAAGTCGAAAAGAGAAAAGTTTAGGGCTGTTGTGTCACAAGTTCTTAGCGCGATACCCTAAGTACCCTAACCCTGCTGTGAATAACGACATCTGTCTTGATGAAGTTGCAGAAGAGCTCAGTAAGTATGCGGAGAGCTTGCTGAAAACGGTTAATAATTAAAGTGACTTTATGGACTTAACTCCTTCAGAGCCAGTGTGTAACAGGCGCACATAAGGCCACGTGGAAATTAGGTTCTAAAGTCTTTCTCATTTAAGAATAAAGGTGAATACTTTATAACTTCAGTAAATCTTAGAGGCAAAGGAAGCCACTGTGGGGGTTGCTTCTGATTATAGGGTCTCTAAAGCTTTGCTAGGAGGCAACAATGTTTTATAACTTGTTTCACTATCAGCTACAACTCTGCACTTTCACTTTGGCTTCTCCTTGGGAAGCTCATACATATCGTCATAGCTAAATGCAGGGCCAGCTTCTGTGAGTGATATGAGGACTCGTGTATCCCCTGCCACGCAGCCACCGCTAGTCTGAGGAGCGATGGGTTTCTGGAATGTTCTGTGGCTGGCAAAAGTTATGTTCCACTCTCTTTTGCTCCTTTCATCATTGACCTGCATCAGGTTACAGCTAAAAAGGGGCCTGTACTAAGCTTGGGTGTATCTTTGGAGTCACGTACATATCTTAATCTAATGCTCGGAGAGGTGTGCTATGCAGGATAATACACTTTAGTGTCTGGATATCACCCGTGGAGAAAAGTTTTACGTTTCTAATACGTGTTTATAAATATCAGTTTTATTTCACATTTTAAGACTATGACACATTCATCTCCCCTTCCCATACATCAGTAGGAGTACCCTTTAATCCAGCAGCTATCTATTGATCACCTGAGTGCCAGGCAGTGTTCTAGGAGCTCAGAATAGAACAGAAAGGGCAGAACCCCTTCTCTGGGGAACCTACATCTGAGAGCGGCAGTAGGTACAGAACAAAGGACCTAACGTGATGGTGAAGTTCAGAAGGTAGTAACATGCTACAGTGAAATAGAGCAGGGTGGAAGGATCAGCAGTGCCTTACAATTTTAAATTAAGTGGTCAGGTCAGGCCTTACTGAGTTGACGTCTGAGCCAGGACTTGAAAGAAAGAGGCAAGGCAGGGGCCTATGAGGACATCAGGAAGAAGGGCTGAACAGAAGGCAGCCCCGACCTCGGCTTTCAGGCAGGGGCTTGTCAGGAAGGTTCCAGGAGCAGCGAGAGGCCACTAGGGGGCACCCTTCTTGAAGGAGTGTTTTGTTAAGTACTTTGCTAGAAAGGCCAGATTTCATCAAATATTTGTTTTTTGTTTTTGGTTTTTTTTTTCATCAAATATTTGAATGAGAATCAACATTGGTAGTAAATTTTTGGAAAAAAGAGAAACGTAACACTGCATAATGCTGAAAAGTCAATTTAACTAGATGGATAGGAGTCAGAATTACCAATATCACATTGTTAACGGTAGCTAGGAAGTAAGCACAGTTAGACCCAAAAAGGGATATAATTTTCTATTTTTTTAATGTGAATTTTTAGAAAACATCGTGGTCTTTACACTTTTCTGAAATCTCAGCACTTTGTACCAATAATGTGATTACTGTAGGCGTGTGTGTGTGTGTGTGTGTGTGTGTGTATGTGTGTGTGTGTGTGTGTTAGGAAGGTAGCGTGAATGGAATTTGGAGTATAAAAAGACTTTGTTTTGCCACTTTCTGGCTTGTCTATGGGATGAGCTCCCTTCTCTGGTTTATCCTCTATGTCATTGTTCTTTTTGCTTTTTGTTTTTTTTTTTCCTGGTACTGGGAATCAAACTCACGACCTTGTGCTCGCCAGGCAGGCACTGTGCCGCTGAGCTAAATCCCCAGCCCCTCTCTATGTCATTCTTAAGGTGAGATATTTATACCTACTTCACAAGTTAGAGCAGAAATGTCTTGACGCTGTGTGGCACATACTAGGTCCTCAATAGATGTTGTCTTTCTTATTCATATTAATTCATCTGTACATGTTGTTCTCAACAAACAACTTGTTAAGAGTATGTGCGTACAGTAAATAAAATTATATTATCCAGAACCTACTGACTAAAAATACTACAGAAGAAAATTTACTCAGTTCTAAACACATTACAAAAGTCTGACCCTAGTGACACACAATTTCTTCTTCTTCATAGATGTTGAACGTCGACGAATTTACGATATCGTGAACGTCCTAGAGAGTTTACACATGGTGAGCCGACTCGCCAAAAACAGGTACACTTGGCACGGGCGACATAATCTCAACAAAACCCTTGGGACTCTGAAGAGCGTCGGGGAAGAGAATAAGTACGCCGAGCAGATTATGATGATCAAAAAGAAAGAATATGAGCAAGAGTTTGACTTCATTAAGAGTTACAGTATAGAAGATCACATCATCAAATCAAATGCTGGCCAGAATGGACATACAGAGATGTGTTTCGTTGAACTCCCTGGCTTGGAATTTCGGGCAGGTGAGACATGGTATGGAAAAGTCCAGGTTAGCTGGGTGTGCTGGCGCGTGCCTGTAATCCCACTACTCAGGAAGCTGAGGCAGGAGGATCACCACAAGTTTGAGGCCGTCCTGGGCTACATCAGCAAGTTCAAGGTCAGCCTGCACTGCATGGAGAGACCCTGTCTCAAAAAAAACCCGAGACTGTGTGGCTTTTCTGAAGGGTCTCCAAAAAAAGACCTCATGGAAAACACTATTCTACCGCTACTGCGGCTTTTAATGTCAAAATGCTGCAGTTGTCAGCTGGATGATCAGGTGGTGGTATTTTTAGCCTTGTTACTTTAGAAGTCACTTGTCCCTTCATGAATTTTAATTCTCTAATCCTCATCCTTCTCCAAAGCTTCTGTAAACAGCCGCAAAGACAAGTCCTTAAGAGTGATGAGCCAGAAGTTTGTGATGCTGTTTTTGGTGTCAACGCCACAGATCGTCAGCCTAGAAATTGCTGCCAAGATTCTAATTGGGGAGGACCATGTGGAAGACCTGGATAAAAGCAAGTTTAAAAGTAAGTGTCAGAATCATGGAGTTCGGGGCCTGTTTGGGAACAATAGTCTCAGTTATCAGCTGATTTTTAAGAGTCTTGGGCATCTGAACAGATCTCTAGTTATCTTCACGTCCCCCAAGCAGCTCTAATAGCTTTAGTTACCTCGTAGGAGTCAAAGATAGGAAAAATTATTCTTATTTGTGCTTTGACTTTATCTGATACTTTAACACTGGGCCCTTTTTATACTAGGAGAATCTGTCCTGTGGGGTATAAATGAGCAGTAAATTGTACAGTAAGATCGAGTCCTAGATCCGTTCTTTCCACTCATGCTGCGCTATGAGAGTACAAATAGCTGTTATAAAATTGACCTCTAAAGTGACCTGTAATAGAGTTTGCCTTTCGAAGGAATGATTTTAGCCAGCTGACCTGTTCTGAGTTCGGATGGAACCATGGATTGGGTTCCTAACACAGCTCCGTCCCTCTGGCCAAGCCAGATTTTCAGGAAGCTCCATGCGAGGAGCAGAGAGAAGGTGTGGGCAGAGGTGCTCAGTGCACGGGGAGTCTGTTGCATGCCCATCTCTGCGGGGGGGCTAACCTGGATGGCGGCCACTCACAGGACCCAGCTGTATGGTGAGGAAGAGCTGGCCCAAGGGACCCCAGAGGCTCTAGGGATTGCTTGGGGCCCTCACACCAAGATGCCATGCTGTCCTATAAAGCTGTACTGGTCCCGCGACAGTATGTTCAGATGTCCTGTGGCCAATAGTGACAGTTAAGTAGAGAATAAGGGTAATGATGCTGGCAGTGGGGTTAGGAGACCTGCAATTTGAAAACAGACATTCTGATTCTACTGATGGGTCGCCTGTGTTTTCTGAGTCACTGTTTTCAGCTCTGTTTCCCTGGTTAGTCACAGCCTTAGAAGCTATTCCAGGAATTGCAGCTGTGTAATTTGCTGAAGCCCCAGGAAATTCAGTACTTTCTCTCCTGGCTGTGAAGCAGGAGTTTAGATTTATAAGTTTATGCTAACAAGTTGGAAGTAAATAGGCTTTCTGAAACTTTAAGATTCGTGAGATTTATAGAATTAATGAATATACGCTTGACCTAAGGACAGCTTCTTATTTACAAAATGTACACATTTTGTGGGGGTACAGAATTTTACACGCTTATGATTTTTTTTTTTTTTTTTTTTTAGTACTGGGAATTGAACTCGGGACCTTGTGCTTGCCATGCAGGCACTTGTGCTACTGAGCTATACCCCTGGCCCCACCCTTACAATATTAAGTAAATCTTGTTATAAACTATCAGAAGCAGAAAAGAAATACATTTATCACTGATCTATTTCTGTCTGTTATGTCTGTTCATAAAATTCTTCTGACTCCTCCTTATTAGAAGATACCTGGGAACGGTAACTTTTTATAAATAGGACGATCTCATCAAGATTTTCCTTTTGCAACTTGTACTGTTGTCATTTCAAAATTCAGGGCCAGCAGTCACTGTCTTTTAAATATTTAAAACTACTTTTTCGTTTTAATTAAAGCACTATACTAGAATAACTTAAAAGGAGTCAGATGTCCCTGCCTGGCATTGATGGTTAGGATAGCTCTTAGAATCTACATGAATTTCTTATGAAGCAAAATCCTTTGATCCTGCATTATTCTATTAAGAGGGATATATACTTTTTTATTTCCAGCAAAAATTAGGAGGTTGTATGATATAGCAAACGTCCTCAGTAGCCTGGATCTTATCAAGAAAGTTCATGTTACGGAGGAAAGAGGTCGAAAACCAGCTTTTAAATGGACAGGCCCAGAAATCAGTCCAAATGCCAGTGGTATGTAATTATTCATTTTCATCCTTTACTTTGTTTTTGTGAATGTACATTTGGGGAGATTCTCCCTTCTGTCTTCCTGCACCCCCACATGGAAAAGATATAGAGAGAGATGATTGAAAAAAAAGTGTTGAGTGCCAACATAGAAGCTTGACTAGCAGTTCCATCAACACCTTAAGGTCTATAACCCCGTCCCATGCTGTGTCCAGGAAGTCAAATTTGTAAATGAAAGGACTTGAAAAGTTGAAAGCACCCCATCATTAGACACAACTCCTGCTGCTGCTCTGCTGCTCCGTGAGCACAACAGGACCTGCACACGTGGGGAAATGATCTAAGTTCATTCTGCTTTCAAGGTAGATATCTCTAGTCCACATCTCAGTTCTGCAGTGCTGACGTTTTGCCTTCCGCCAAAGATCCCCACCCAGAATCACTGGAAAATGACAAGAACTTGGAGCACAGAGAGACTAAGTTTCAATCCCAGCTCTGCCACTTACTAGTTTTGTGGCCTCAGGCAAGTTACATCTCCAAGTTTCCTCAGTGTCCTCACCTGTGAAGTTGGAAGAACGGTGGCGCTTTTGTAGGGCTGTTGCGATTTGGGGTGTAACCTCAGGGAGAGGTGGTCCTTTGGAACGCCGGTCCATATTCGTCCACCCTGGTCCATATTCCAGGCCCACGTACCACCCGCTGGGAACCTTGAGTCAGTGGCTCATGTCTCTGTCTCTGCTGTCATCTTTGAGAAGTACCTGCCATGTGGAGCTGGTGAGAGAATCACCGTATTTCGCCAGCTTTCACTGATGACAAGACACAGAATTTTCCAGCCTTCAGTAAGAAAGAGAAGCCAGTAGTGACTACACTGTAGCACATCGCTGGTATAAGATACAGTCCGTTCTCACATCCACATCCACATCCACAGATCCCACATCAAAGGGCTTGACACAGTCATGTGTTTTTTGGTTTTTTTCCTTCCTTTTGGCTATACTGAACATGTGCAGACCTTTTCTGGTTACTTCCTAAATAGTAATGTATGACAATTATTTACATAGTGTGTGCATTCTACAGTATTAGGTGTTATAGTCTAGAGATGATAAAGCATATGGGAGAATGTGCATAGGTTATGGGCAAATATTGTGACATTTTATATACAGAGCTTGAGCATTAGCAGATTTTGATACTGGAGGGGATTCTGTAACCCATCCCCCCAGGTACCAAGCGACACTCACTATAGGTGTGGTTTCAGAGATACATCATGAAATATCAGATCTCAGAATTCAATGAATAAGATAAACAAGGTCACATATATAAAGCACCCCTGGACAGTAGCGCATAGCTGGTGCTTTACAACTGTCAACCGCTTTTATCCCTAAAATTTGAACTACACTGTGATTTCATATCCCAGAAGGAAGCCAGACCGCCAGACTTTTGTTGTTGTGATTGTTTTTGTTTTTTTTTTCCGGCACCGGGAGTCGAACTCACGACCTTGCGCTTGCCAGGCAGGCACTATGCTACTGAGCTAAATCCCCAGCCCTCCGCTAGACTTTAATACAGTAACCTTTTCTGTTCCAGGCTCCAGCCCAGCCCTTCCTTCCGCCACCTCTGATCTGGAGGTGAGGCGGTCTGCCAAAGAGAACTGTGCCAAAAACCTCTTCTCCACACGCGGGAAACCAAACTTTACACGACACCCGTCTCTTATCAAGCTGGTGAAGAGTATAGAGAGTGATCGGAGAAAGATAAATTCTGCCCCCAGTAGCCCTGTGAAGAGCAGCAAAGGTGTGTATCCCAGGAATGCTGCGGCTCATTCCTCTTTCTGTGCTTTTTTAATATATATAGCTTACTGGGTCACTGCAATATTTGCTAAAGGAATTGGTTCAATATCTATAGACCCAAACCTGCAGACTCGTTAAGCTAAATTACATGTGAATTGCAAGAGTAAAAAGTAATTTGTGGGGTTTGCTATTAGATTGCTGTGTAACTTCAGAGGCAGGTGCATGTTTTCTGTTCTTTTGTCTAGGATGAGGCTTTGTGTGAACATTTATTTCTTAGCTTTGACCACCCACCCTCTTTCTATTTTACCAGCTGAGAGTTCTCAGAATTCTCCACCCTTCCCAAATAAAATGGCTCAACTCGCAGCTATTTGCAAAATGCAGTTAGAAGAGCAATCCAGGTAGGTTGACAATGCTCTTTAGTGATGGGATGATTTACTTTTACATTGCATTGTTGGAACTGCCGGTGGGAATGTAAACTAGTACAATCAGTATGGTGATTCCTTAAAAAAACTAAAGCTAGAAATTCCATTTGACCCAGCTATTTTCCTGCTAGGTATGCTCCCGGAAGAGTTAAAGACATTATATTACAGTGATACATTCATACCCATGTTTATAGCAGCACAATTCATAGTAGCTAAATCTTGGAAGCAACCGATATGCCCATCTACAGATGAATGCATAAAGAAAATGTATTTACACACTACAGAGTATTACTCTGCCATAAAAAAAAAGATAAACTTCAATCATTTGCGGGAAAATGGATGCACCTTGTGACCATAATGTTAAGTGAAATAAATCAGACACACACGCTTAAATACTGCATTCTATTATATGAGAAACACAAATAAATACTGAGCAAAATAAAAGATAGATTAAGTAGGAAGTAGGGAGATAGATTTTTCTCAAATGGGAAAAGAATCAAGAACTGGAGGGAGGAGAGGGAAAAGATTTAAGACATGTTGTGTATATGTACCTAGTCCACACGAGGAAGGTAAACACCAGGTACTACAAACGTGGATTGATAAAAAACATTAAACTTAAAAAAAAAGTTGCTTACCTTCTGTGATCATGGCACCAGCCTTGGAAATTAGGGAGGTGATCTTTTCTGTATCTCCGGCTCAGTCAGTACAGCAACTATCACAGAAATGCGGCTTCAACCCGAGGCTTAAAATGAAAGAACACTGAGGAGAAAATGTATTTCCTTTGTGTCATGTTTGAATCTTATCTTTCAGTGAACCCAGAAAGAAAATGAAAGTACAGCTAGCAAGATCCGGGCACTGCAAGCCAGTGGCCCCGGTGGATGCATCAGCAAAGGCTGAGCTGGAGCTGACGACACCATCCCTCATCCAGCCCCTGGGCGTGCTCCCCCTGGTCCCAAGCCCGTTGTCACCTGCTGTGCCCGTGATCCTACCTCAGACCCCTTCCGGCCCATCCTATGCTATCTACTTGCAACCTGCCCAAGCCCAAACCATGACACCGCCCCAAGGTCTGAGCCCGACAGTCTGTCCCTCTCACTGCTCTAAAGCTGCCGGAGCAAAAGAATCCACAGATGCCTCCACCGAGAAGACCACCAACAATACCCCGCGGGCCAGTGGCTCCTCCAGATCTGGAAGCTTACTGCTAGCACCGGAGCGACAAGGTGCAAAGAACCGAACCAGGGAGGCACCTGGAGAAAGGGGCTCTAAGAGGTCCAGCACGTTTGAGGACTGTATTTCTAACAAGAAATACAAAGAGGACCTAAAAGGACTTGAAAATGTGTCTGCGGTAAGTACGACCTTGAATTGTGCTTTAAAATTGTAGGAATTCCCTGCTCAGTTCGGGGACAATCTAGGGACTTGTGAAATTTACCAAAGCAAAGAGCAGTGTCTCAGCAGACAAAGAACTGTTCCTTAGCGTCCCGTAACCCAAATGAGGTCCAGACAGCTAATCCCCTGACCAGGATGACGGCAGAGACATTTTTAACCTTTGGAGGAAGGGATTACTTGCTCTCTTTTTAGAGCACCGCAGGTGGCTGTCCTTCGGTCCGTTTCTCCATCACGCTGGAATGCAAACACCTGTCATGAAAGTTGTAAATAATTTATAAACAGACCTAATCCCAGATGGATGGATGCATCCAGGGTTCCTGTAACTCCTCCTTTCTGAGTCATTCCCCAATGTTTGTTTGATGTCATGGAACTGACATCTGTCGCCTAGAAGATAATTTGTTCCCCGTTTTTACTTTTTATCTGGCAATTTCTATTTTGTGTAAATAGAGAAATCAAACTGACCTTGGCAAAGTGGAGGTATATTGGATACACCAGTTTCTAAAGATGTTGACATTCTAGATAATTTTTTTCCCAGGTGGAGATTAGGTCTGGAAAGAATTAATATTTATTGGATATTTACCCACATAGCAGATGGCCCAGGTATTAGGTACTTTTACATACATTGTCTGGTTTTCCTCTATTAGGACGATTATATAGGAGACGCATTCTCATCACATAAATACCACTGTACATGGGAGCAGAAATTAATCTCTCATTTTGTCCCTGCTGTTAACTCAAGTTATTTGACTTATCCACATCTTTTTTTCTTTTCCTCGTCTATAGTGAATTTATTCCACCAATTTTTTCCTGCTTGCTCTGGATCACATCTAACCCAGCACCCGCCCCCAGTGGGCAGTACTCCTGAGTACTTGCCCGATGGCCATATCTCAGTGTTTGTGGGATTAAGTGAGTTTATTCCGTGATGATATACATAAAGGGGCTTGTGATCCTGTTAAGACGCCGTATCAGCTGCAGGGCATTATCTGTAACTGTAGTATTAAGGAAGCTTAGAGTTTGTCAAAGCTTCCCTGAGGATGGCCTTATGAACACCATTCAGAACATCTATTATCATGTATTGTCTTGCACTTAGTGCACATGCTAGGGAGAAAATCGCCAGGCTCGCTGTTCCGGGAGGTCCATTAGTCTCTTTGGGCCAGTGGGGATGATTTCAGGATGGTCTTCTGTTGTACCCCGAGTCATCAGGATTGTGTTTGTGTTGGGTACATTTCCCATGTCCCCTTGCTTCTTTTTCTTTTCTTTTTTTCATCTCTGTGACTCCATTCGGACCATTTCTCTTTGGCACAGGCTATAGAGAACAAAGACAATGTGTTAATTAGTCCAGGGAACATTACCTGAGAATCCACACTTCTAGAGATGGAAAAAAAGACAGTGTTCAAATCAATACAAAAATAAACACAGTGAATGTGAGAAAACGATAGAGAAAATAACATAGTCTGAGATGAGAGGAAGAGGGGCGTCTCTAGGCTAGAAGAGATGACAGTGACATTCGAGTGGAAATGTGTCAGATTCATTCATTCTGCTAAATTAGTAGCTCTAACCATTTTTTTTAAAACAGAATTAGAACTGTAGGTTAAAAGATTTTATAATAAATGTAATTAGTTGAAAACTGAAAAAGTGTGATGACTGGGAGAGTATCACAGGTTTTACTGAGTCCTGAAAGAGTGAAACAGCCATCATAATAACTTGTACAAGAGAGTGTGAGTGAAGGTCTCAGCGCACCTATATGTAAAAGGCGTCAACCCACCCTTTAGGATTCTCTACTTCTGTGCTTTCAGAGTACCAACTGCAAAGGCTTTTGAGTGTTACCAAGCACCTAAGAAACAAAATTTAAATCTTGCGGTATACTTTTAGCTCTGTGGATTCTGAGTTCACTAGTTCACAAGGAAAAGACTTATTAAGAGCCAGATCAAAGTGCGGACTGTTTTTTTGACAATGGAGAGAAGAAATGTCGGAAGGAAGATAAAAGGAAGCCCCTACTTTATGAGAGCTGCTTTTAGCTTTCACCAGCCCCGAGCAGGATGGGGCCAAAGCAGACTGTGCTGGCAGTCCAGCCACCCACGTAGACTTTTCCCATTCAGAGAAGTACAGAGAGTAACCGGCAGGGTGGGAGGGGCATGCAGGCTGTTTCGAGTATTCCTACTTTTTTATTGCATGACACTTTTGCTCAAGGATGTTTGGGTCTCTAATATGAATTAATCAGTTCTATTTCTTTGTCATTTTTGAACTCCAGCGTACTTTAGTTTTCATGTAAAAGACTGGTTTCATCAGAACAAACCAGAACAAGCAGTCTACAACAGTCTATAAATTCCTTTGTTCTAAATCAGGGGTCAGTAAACTTTCTATAAAGGGCCAGAGAGTAAATCTGTTTGGCTTTGTGGACCATGTGGCTCTGTTGTACCTACGTAGCCCTGCCACTGAGCAGGCGAACAACCAGATGCGTAAATGAGTGGGCGTGGCAGTGTTCCGGTAGAGCTTTCTTTACAGAAGCATCTGAAGGGTTGGACATGGCCGTGGTTTGGCCACTTCTTTCTCTAAATCAACACTGTCTCAAGCATTTTCTTTGAATATTAGTCCTCCTTAATAGCCTACCGAAAGTAGTCTGGGAAACGCTCCATGCAGTGTGCCCCACTTGCAGGTTAATAATGCGTGCCATCATTAAAGTCTCTTAAAAATTCTCTAACAAAGACACCATTTGCCTTTGTTTAATTTAGCCTTTCCCAAACATATTTGATCATGAATCAAGTCATGCCTGCTTGCATCCCCAGAAACGAGAGTCTCTCAGAATACTCATTGGGAAATACTATCCCACCTCATTCAAGAATAGCCAGGTACTACTCCTTCCGTGTGGCATGTGGTTTTCACCAGCATTAAATTTGACCCCAGCAGCACCACACCACACCACACCACACCCAGAGGTCTGATCACAGGAGTCAGGATGTCATCGTATGAGGGAATTGTGCTGGTGAGTCCTACTCCTCCACAGGCTCCAGTGGCATTTAAGATAGACGATCGGTGTTATCCAGCACAAGCACTGGGATGGAGGAGGGTGTCGTGCTCTAGGAACCAGATGGCTCAGCCCAAACCGTGGGAGGCTTTGGTTTGAGGAGAGAAACAGCAGCTGCCCTGTGGCCGTTTTTCTTGCTGTAGCATTTGTGTGTAAATAAACCCTTCCTCCTGTTTTCCAGACCTTGTTCCCGTCAGGGTACCTAATCCCTCTCACCCAGTGCTCATCCTTGGGCACAGAATCCATTTTGTCTAATAAAGAAAACTCAGGTACACTTTCCCCGAACCGCAGGATCTACAGCTCCCCAATCGCAGGTGAGTGTGTGGGAAACACTATTCAAACCTGAGTCAGTCTCTAGTTTCTTAAGCCTTGTAAACTCCTCAGACAAACGCCTGTTCTCTTAAGATCTCTCCCCCGCCACCCCCTTTTTTTCCAGGTGTTATTCCAGTGACATCCTCTGAACTCACTGCTGTGAATTTTCCCTCGTTTCATGTGACACCTTTGAAGCTAATGGTCTCACCAACTTCCGTGGCAGCTGTCCATGGTGGGAACAGCCCGGCTCTTGCCTCCAGCCACCCTATTGCCATTCCGAACCCAAGCTCAGCCATCGTAAACTTCACCCTGCAGCACTTGGGACTCATCTCCCCCGGTGTGCAGGTGTCTGCCAGCCCTGGGCCTGGATCCGGAACCATTCCCGTGTCCCCGAGAATAGAAGCAATTAGTATCGTACCAGAAAATGCAGGCTGTCAGCAAGGAAGGGCCACCAGCTCTGACTCATCTGTCCCGGGCCAGAGCCAACCAAATGGACAATCCGTCATGGTGACAGGGACACAACAGGTGAGGTTCATTTCATTATTCCTTGAATTAGTGGGTCCCAACTGTCTATCATAGGAGACTCGCTTTTATTTCCTTTGGAGAAGAAAAGAACGGGTGAGTGAAGGAGGGAGAGCCAACCTTCCTTCCAGACCCAGAAAGACTCCCCGGAGAGTCCATATTATTGGCTTAACAAGAGGTTCTTGTCTCCCCTTAAAATGATGGAGATTGCAAAACTCGTTAAGACTTCCGCTAGCCAATCAATCTGATCTTCCAAGTCTGCTAGGGCTGGTGCATCTCTGTAGTTTTAATTCCTTTTTCCCTTTCCTCTCTTTTTTAATCAGCCTGTTCCTGTGACACCCAAAGGGTCACAATTAGTGGCCGAAAGTTTCTTCCGTACCCCAGGTGGACCAACCAAACCAACTGGCTTATCCTGCGCGGATTTCGATGGTGCTAATAAAACCTCCTTTGGAACCCTCTTTGTCCCACAGCGAAAACTGGAAGTTTCCACAGAGGATGTCCACTAAGTGACAGATGTTGGCTTAATTTAATTTCCTAAAGACTTATTTAATAGAGAAGATGTGCACAGACTGATTTGGAGAATACAGTCTCCAAAAATACTGTAAATATGTTGGATGTTTACACAATATCAAAGCAGATACTTGTTTTCATACATATATATACATATACATATATATATGTACATTTGTACAAGGCTGTCTTCAGCCTTTCAGTCAAAATAAAACATTGAACTAAGGTGTATTAACTTCTGGGGGAAGATGATTCATCATTTCAACTGTACCTTTGCTATTATGCAAGTAACTGTCTTAAAGTTTACTTCCCTTTAAGTACATATCTTTGGCATGCATAGTATAGCATTCTCCTCAACTTTTCGCACAAAGGAAATGCTGCGTGGTGTACAGTGCTGTGTTTTTACATAGCAGGGCTGTCGCTCTGTTTTTTGTAATTTCTCTCATCTGTTGATGTTGCAGGCGATGTCTTTGTAGAGTTTGCAACAACCCTCAATCAAGTCTATGGAAAAATTATTTATAAGATGTATTTTTAATCCTAAATTGTTAAAATTAAAACTTTTCTAAAATGTAGTTAACCTTTTCATTTGGCCCCTTAGGGCACTTCGTGGAGAAAATTAAAATTTCATCTCAGAGGCAGATTCTTGGTAAAGAGTCTATCTTGGGTTCCCTCAGATACGCAACTGATAGAAAGTGCCTACATTCTTGCCCCCTTGGGACCCTTACTATTGCCCTAGTGGACGTTGCTTTGGACAGGCTGTGTCTAATTCCCATCTGCACTGCAGCCCACTCTGGGAGGTTGGGGATGGAAAGCAGGAGCTGCGATGCTTCCTGTCCTGCCCCGGCACAGTTAGCACCTGTCCCAGTGCCCCTGCTGTCCACAGAGGATGCTCTGCCACTAGAACTCTAACCACACGCAGGATGGTTGGCGCCAAGAAAGAATAGCTGTAAACATTCTAGTTTCCTCCACTGTCAGAGAACTGGCACGTGACACCCCAGTGAGCTCCAAGAGAAGAAATGAGCTGTGTACAATGTGTTAAATGTGCCTTGCCTTCACGCCCTTGTTATGTGACAAATTATATCTTGAGAGTCTACAAGAACCTTCCCAGGTCACAGTCTTAAAGGATCATCACAATACCTATTTCCTACATGTTAGCTTTCTAGACAGCTAACATTTTAATTGCACTGTCTCCAAGTTAGGACTGCGATGTCACTGAGACTCCAGTTAAAGCAGTGTTTACTGGGCTTCTTTATCCGTTCTCCATCTGCCTCTGGACGCACCCTAGAAACTCTAGGAGGTCCAAGCACGTTCGTTGCTTTGGGGATGATTTGAACATTCAAATGTCACCCCTTTCAAATATACATGTTTTATTTATACAGCCAAGTACAGCTAAAAAAGCAGATTTTCACACTGACCTAAAGACCTCTCACCCTCCATATCACTAGAAAATGAACGTGAGCAATTTCCTCCAACGTACCTTTGCCTTTGTCTTTATCCTGCTTGAAGGGCATGCAGACATTCCCTGATATATCAAGAAGTTGCTGCTATCTTTTAAAATGCGTATAATACAGTTGAGAAAAACGAATAAGTAAAGAATTTCCATGCAATAAAGAGAAGGTAGAATTCCATACAGGCTACTAGATTGAATGGCATACACAGAATGGTAATAGAATGACCATCCCAGGGCTCCTTCCATGCCCCTGCTCTGGCGGAACTAAAGAGGGTAGAGGCCAAGGCTCTGTTCTTCTCCCCTCACCAATTCTCCACTGGAAGAACCTCCCTGAGGAAACCACATGCACAGGAAAAGATGTGTTGGCTTTGAGGACGGCCCTGCCTAGTTCTGCCACGCCCGGGTTTTTGATGTAGTCCTTGATCCCCACTTCCTAGTGTTCACATCCTTGTGTGATGCCTTCCCCATGAGAGGCTGGGACCTGTCACTTGCTTCCAGTCAGGATACAGTAAAGATAAAGGATGTGCATGACTGTATGCGTGGTTGTGTTATTACATCAGATTATCGCAGCTGTCTCACTGGAGTCTTTCTCCCTTGTGAGCTTTGAGGAATCTAAGAAACAACGTCGGGAAACCCAACTTGGCAAGGCCCTGTGGGCAGCCTCTTGGAGCTGAGACAGCCTGCAGCCAACAACCAGCAAGAAACGGAATCTCCAGCCCTACCTATCTATAACCTCCAGGAACTGAACTTTGCCAACAAACCGAGGCATCGTAGAATAGGTCCTTCCCCAGTCCAGCCTCAGATGAGATCACAGCCTCCACCACCACCGTGATTGCAGCCTTATGAGATTAATTAGAGGACTCACCTAAGCCATGTCCAGAGTCGTGACCCCCAGAAACTGTGAGATAATAAATGTGTGCTGTTTGAAGATCCTGTTTGCAACAATAGATAGAAAATACAACCACATAACCCACCAGTTTTCAAAATTGTCTTCTCCCCATTGGTCCTATTATTATTCATTGGTTTTATAGGCATTTATAGGATGACACTTGGGACATGGTAACCCAAAGGCTTTAATAGAAAGAAAGCTCCCTGTTTTTATAGCTGGAAGTATCTTTAAAGATGCTAGTAGTAACACAGTATTCACAAAATTTTTGCCAAAGGTGCAATTTCCTTTCCTAAATTGCCTCTTATTTCCTCAAGGAAATTCACTTCCACATTGGATGGAGCTCCGTGGACTGTAATTGGAGGCCCAACCCATGTCTAGCAAAAGTGGACTTAGCATCCAGCCTAACCCCACCCCTCTGGAATCTGATGTTCCCCTTCATCCTAGCGGTGGCCTTCTTGACACTCAGTTTCTGCCATATTTTTTCCTGTAACTAGGATTACTGCACAGGCAACGGCCCACGCCCAAATCCGAGTTCCAGCCACACGCTGATCCTCTCAGCCTTTGTTCCCCTTCCAGTAAGTGCATTTCGAATCCTTTCCAGATCACAGCAGAAAGCCGAGAGCTGAGGCTACCCTTTTAATTGTGCTTCCCTTTTAACTGAACTTTGCAGTTTTCAGATCGGTAGCTCCTTGTGTCACAGGCCCAGCAAAATTCAACAATGCAACAAACAGAAAAGGCCTACTGACAGTGCACGTAAGAACATAAATGTACAGTGGATATTGTGAAACTGGAAGAAGCTATTCAAAAGGAAAAGGGAAAAAGGGAAGAAGAAGGGAAAGGAAGAATGGGAAAGAAAAAACCAGAAAAGAAGGATAAAATGAAAACCAAGCTTTGCGAACAGGGAGGGGAAGGGGGTTGGAAAAAGGGATGGGAATGGCAGGAGAAGAATCAAGCTATACCATGTACAGGTACAAATGCCCTACAATGACTGTGATCAGTGTACCTAAATTGTGCCAATAAATTTAAATAAAATTATAAATAAATAAATAAAAAATTTAAAAAAGAAACGGTCTTCAGAAATGTTTATCTCACCAGAAAATACAAGTAACCCATCTATGCTCAAGTCAATGTGAAGGTGCTATTTTAAATACCTTACCGGGAAAAAGCTGAAATGAGAGATAGAAGAAATCCAGGAAACTAGAGCAATAGGTTTTGTTGCTAAAAGTTTTTTTTTTGTTGTTTAAACTGTTTTTAAAGCAGATTCCCTCAACCTTGTCCTTTCCAAGTGATTAGTATTTCTGAAGATAAAGAGATTTCCAGAATTTGAGCAGATAAGCTGGCTGAGCAATCCTATTAATTATATGAGTGTGAGTTGACTGCAGATTCTTTATAGTATTTATCATTGACTGTAGTTTTCAAACCCTGAGAGCCTAAAATAAAAGATAAACTCAAAGGAAATGTGTCATTATTTCAAGTTGGAGAGAAGTATTAATCCCTTAATCGGCTTTGGAAGAAGTGGTTTTACATCTCATACCCCACTTGAGTAAACTCTAGTTAGTAACTTGCTTAATGGGGTCAGTAGCTAAATGACGGCTTGTCATGACTGTCAACATAGAGTAGAAAAATATAGGTCAGAAATGTACTAGCAGTGTCCTCCAGTAGTTAAGCCATCAAGGGCATTTTTGAGAGATCCTATTGCAGATGATCCTTGAATTACAATGGTGACTTACAACTCTTCCACTTTATTATGGTGTAAAAAAAAAAATGCATTCACAAAAACGGGCCTATAAGTTTTGAATTTTGATCTTTCCCTGGGCCAGTGACGTGTGGTAGATATTCTTGTGGTGCTAAGCAACTCCAAGTCAGTGATGGGACCCAGAGAGTAAACCACTGCTGCTCTGGAGTGCGCCGTGTTGCTAAGGTGCAACAGTGGCTTAGGAAAACCAAATGCAATTTCAGCTTAGGGCATTTTGAGCCTATGACACAGCCCCATTATAAGTAGAGGAGTACTGCGTGTGTATATTGAATTTCATTTTAAAGTATTTATTCAAGTGTTACATACACTTAGCACTGGATCGTACAAAACAATGTCTACCATCCTACCCGAGTCGTTTGTAGGACGATGGATACACCTTGATACCGTAATGATAAGTGAAATAAGTCAGACACCCATGTTTGAATATCTCCTGATTTCTCTTATATGAGAATTCTAAACTATAAATACAGAACAAAATAAAAGATAGATAATAGGAAGTAGGAAGATAGGTCTTTCTCAAATGGAAAAGGGATCAAGAGATGGAGAGGGAGGGGAAGGAGGGGAGGGAGGGGGTGGAGAAGAAGTGAGATGTGTTCTGTCCGTGTACCCACTCCACATGAGGAGCATAATCGCTGTGCACTGCAAACATGCACTACTAAAGATCCTTTCCGTGTGAATATTCTAGAAGTTTCTCCAAAGCAAAAACTTTCTTATTTCAGTTTCTCTAGATTGAAATCTTTCTAAAATGATATACATCTCCTCAATTCCTAGACAGAATACTTTAAATACGATTTACTATTTCTTCATGTTTCAGAAATCCATGGGCACTAGCTTTGTTAAACTCAAATTCAACAAACACTAGGTCACTTGTGATACAGTAATGCCTTCTGGGGCTGTTACCTGTGTAGGCCTAGATCCTCCTAAAATGAATGGTCCATTATATTATGCTTGTCAGGTTCTATTTTTATGGTTCTTGATCTCCAACTTCAATACTAGCTTCTATTGTGTTCTCCCTCTACCCTCATGACTAACATCTGTTTTCTGACCCAGAGAAACCGAAAAATTCCAGGGGAATTCATGCCACAAAACCCTTTCATAAACCATTTCAGGTCAGTATATTCCTGACCAACCACTCAAGGAGGCCCCTATTCCTCTCCACGGGAACAGGGCTATAAGCCCAGGTGTTTCCCATGGCAGTGTTCGTTAGCTGCACGACCCAAACCTTGCTCATCTGGAAATCTGTGACCATAGTGGAACACTAGGAGTGTTCCATACAAATTCTATCCTATATTCACTACCAAAATGCATACTTAGATGTTAGGGTGTCCCTAGACGGAGATATTCTAAGGAAAAAGGATATGTCCTTAATGTTCTAGGAGAAAAAGTGAGACTAGGAAGGAATAAGAAATAATTTTTTGAGCATCTACGATTATACCAACTTTAAAACCACAGTATGAGGTAACTATTATCAGCCCTA